AAAAATAGTTATTAAAAAAGTTTGAGCAAATAGCTTTAAAATTGTTCACCCCGTGCATCGCACGGGATTCATACTAGTATACAATTGAAGGGGCTAGATTATTTACTTTTTAAAATTACATTTATTAGATTGGATGTAATGTATATTTTGATGTATTTTATTTTTTGTGAATTATTTATTATTTATTTAGAAATTTAAAATACGTTTTTTTATTTTCTAAAAAAAGTTAAATTTAAATGTAACAGAAAATTAAAATCTAATCACATTATTCTCGTCAGTGACCAAAAGTTATAATGATTTTTATATTTTTGAACTGATTAGTGTGCTGACTATGAAAGGTTAAATAAAACTTAAAATAATTTTTATAATTTTAAAGTGATTAGTGTGATTATGAAAAGTTAAATAAATCAGAGGTAAAAATTTTGGGAGGAAATTGGAAAGTGCCACCTAGATAAAATTAAATAGATTTTATTTATTAGGTGAAATCTATTGGTAAGCTAGCAATTATATATTTTTAGGTATATATAGATTAAACCAAATATCCATTGCATTTCCCAACCGCTATATATATTACTTTATGTGGAATATTTTCCTTTATTCCTTTTCTTTTGAATTTAGTTTTAAATATATATTAATTTAATGAAATTCTTAGGATATGATAAAAAAAAAATATTTTTTAAAGATACTGTAATGCCCCGTTTGAATTATAGAATTTTGGAGAATAATTAATATTATTATTATTATTTATATTCATGTGTTATTAATAATATTATTGCTTGGGATGTTATAAGTTATTAATTGTCAAATATGATTTATTTGTCAAATTGCTTGATTGTCTAAATATTGAATTAATTGCTTGATTGTCTAAATGTTAATAATTAATTAAAGTGTGTATTAGTATTTTTACTAATATTATTATTATTTCCTTAAAATTTAAATTGTGTATTATCAATACATATTATATATTTTGTTTGTTTATTTAATTGTGCGAATTTATTTATCGAGTCCGAGAAATCTGTATTACTTCTACGTAGTCGGGCCCGAGAGCCGATTCGTTTCTTTGAACCGAAACCGCGAGGCCGACAATTCGGCCCGTTTTTGCAAATAAATTTGGCCTAAATTGATTCAATTTTTCGGCCCACGATGTAACTCATTCTTGGCCCATTGAGTTAATCTTGTTACAACCCTAAGTCTTGTATCTATATCTCTCCCTCATTCACGTTAAGCCCGCAGACAAGAGAAATCTGCCCTTTACTTCTCCCGTCAACCGATCTTTCACCGAGAAGAAGTCCCTCAACCCGTCATCAAAATTCCGCTGCTCTCTCAACTATCCTCTCCCTCAATTGTTTTTCCGATTACTTTCCTTCTGCAAATCCAAACCCTTCCGTCATCATTCTCGTGAGGTTGTCGTCCCTCCGACCAACAGCAACTCGCGGCGCCTCCATACCGTCGAGAACCAATCATCCCCGACCCCAGCAGCAAGACGCCACGGCCAGCACAATTCCGACGACCAACCTCAACGAACAGGCCCAACTCCCAACGATCCGCGCGCCTGCATCTCCGGCGACCTTCTCTGCGCAACCCTAGTCGTATACCAGCAGACCATCTCCGACGAAGCCGCCCTCGACCACCGCGAGCCGCTGACGCTCCGCCTCAACGCTGCTCCTCCGTGAGTAGACCCGCGGACCCCGACGAACCGCTGCCCTAGCCGTCGTAGCGTCTTTTCCCGGTGGCCCCGTCCGTCGCTGCTCCTTCTCGAGTCGCCTCTCCGCCGCTGCTCCTCCGTGCACGTTCCGCCGGCGAGTCCAAGCGAAAGCGGTCGAGCCGTTCACCCCGCAAGAAGGCCACACGCAAATCGAGCCCGTCAACCCTCGTCCGTTCCGTTTCTCGAGCGTAAACCCGAGAACGGTACCGAGGTTCATCTCTCTCGTTAATTTCATGTTTTGATGATGTGTTGAACGTGTGCTACGATTATGTATTTGAGCCTATAAATTCTATGTGTTCTATGAATATATATATAAATGCCTATGATGTTTATATGTGTTCATGAGATTATATATATTCATGTGTGTAGACGAACTCTTCGATTTTGAGAAATCGAACGAGATCTCGTCATTCGTGTTTAGGACTGTGGATAATGGAACCTTGTCGAGTCCGTGGCCTCATGGCGAAGGCCTCGGACGATTTCGGTGTGTTTCGAGTCTTATTTGGATTTTTGAAATCATAATTGCTGCTGAATCGAATTTAAATCATGATAAATCGCATGCTGCTCCGAATGCTTTGAAATTTTATATGTGATGTCATGTGGTGATTATACATGTCGTGTAAAAATTTCATGATTTTAGGAGGTCTGTAGCTATTTTTAATAATTGTTTGGAAATCTGAGCAAAATCTTGTAAAATGCATATTAAATTCAGTTGTGCCTCAAAAATTATGAAATTTGAATATGATGTCTTCCTGTGTGTTTTCTAGGTCGTGTAAAAGTTTTGGAATTTTTGAACTTCGTTTGCTATACTTAAAAATCATTTGTTGTATTCTGCAGATTCATAATTTAATTTTATTAAATTTAATTCTTGCTGGAAAATTCTGAAACTTTACTGAGAGGCTTATTTTATGTACTTATGCATGCTGTTAAAATATGAAAATTTTTGGAGTTCATTTTAGTTCGATTTTGATTTAAATTCGATAAACTGCTGAAACTCGTTTGAATTTTTAAAAATAGAAGCAGTTAATGTCATGGGCTGGAATTTTTATATGTTGTTTATATCATGCAGTAGTGTATTGTGTAAAATTTTCAAGTCCTGAATCATTCCTTAAGTTTGAGTATAAATGCATGGCTCGATTTTGCTGATATCTTGTGGGAATTTTGTAAAATAGGGTACTTAGGATTTGAAGCTGAAATTTTGTGTATTTGCTTAACTCTGGAAGGTGAAATTTTGGTTAAAATTTCAGGGTTAAATTCGAATCATAACCTGGTCAACTTATTTTTGTGGTTTAAATCTAGTATTTTAAATGCATAGCTTTTGGAAATAATACTGTTAACCGACTCGTCATTTATTTCATTAAGTGTTTGGCTTGGTCAATGTTTATGTTTGATTATGTGAACTCCCATGTGTAATTGGTTGAGTCTAGATGTCAAGTCTAAGTGTTCCAACGTCCACAGGACTTCACGAACAACTTAGTTGAATCGAGTTCGACTAAGTATGATTGTGATTTCTCGTTTAAGTCTGAATAGGTGTTGATTATAGCATCTGGACTTAATGTAGGTGTTTGACGAGCCGAGCTCGCAGCCTAAACGTGCTTTCGTGGTTATCTCCTATTTGCGACCAGGTGGGTTTTATTTTAAAAGTTGTCTATGCCATAAATTATTTACATTTGTTGCTTGGCGTGATTAATGCATGCGTGTGAACCATGTAACCCTCGTCGTGAGCTGTATGTCCTTCGAGCGGTTGTCCCCGTCGTTGTGAGCTGTATGTCCTTCAACGGTGCTTTTGATAGGCAGTCTCCCTAGCCTAATGATAGGCAAGGCCGAGGGGAGCTGTACGCCCTTCGGTATTTTACTCCCATTGTTGTGAGCTGTATGTCCTTCAATGGCTAATGATAGGTGTGCACATTGAGTAAAAAGGTTATGATTAGGAGATGTGACAATTGATTGATTCGTGTTCATGCTGCAACCATGCCTAACTTTTGTTGTATATAATTTATTGCATAGTGGTGAGCACTACTTTTTTCTACTGTGCTCATCCCCACCTGAAATTCACGTTTCAGGTTAAGCAAGGCGGGCACGACGGCGTGATGGCGAGTGGATAGTCATTTATGTTATTTGCTTCCGCATTGTTTATTTGAATAAGTTAAACCCGATTTGATAAACTTGAACTGCTTGGGTTCTAAACATGTGAATTTCTTTCAGACCATGTCGTTTGAAAATGTTGGTTTTGAACTTATGTTTCGGTTCATGTTATTGAACTATGATTGGATATTCAGGATGAATGTGTTATTTGAATATCATGTGAATTGTTGGTTTTTAGGACAATGAGGTCCATGTGAAAAACCGGGTAATGAATTCCCGTGAGGTTTCAAATATGAATTGAAATCAAGATAATGCCCTAATGATATGGATTTTGAAAAATGAATTTCGAAAATGTAAACATGATTTTTGAATAAGCCATGGATTATTTCTTAAATCAAAGTGGGGCGTTACAGATACTATCTATATATACATAAAGATTCGTATTTATTATAAATAATACGATTTTCCCCTAAAAAATATTGATTATGTAATATAAAAAAATTTGAAAATATAATAATTGTTGATATTTCCCAAATGCGACACATACAAATTATGTTAATTAATATGTTTAATAATTATCATATTTAACTATGTTTGGTAAACTAATAAACTAGCTTATAATTTATTTGATTAGCTTCTAAGTTTTCTGTATTTAGATAAATTTCGTTTGGTAAGACAAGCTTATTTAAAAAGCTCGAGCTTATCTCATAAGCTTGTTTGAGTAGCTTTTCAAATAAGTTCGTTGAAATTTTTATTTCAACTAGCTTATCAGCTAATTTAACCAAACACTTTTATCATATAAACCAGCTATTCAGCTATAAGTCATAAGCTATAAACTATAAGCTCGAAAATTATTGATAAGCTATAAGCTAGCTTATCAACTATCAACTAACTTATCAAGTAGTTTTACCAAATATAGCCTTTGTTTAAGCTACATATTTTCTTTTTCATAATTTAATACAAAATATACAATAGATAAAAATTAAATATACAAGCATCTAAAAGGGAAGATATTATTATCATTTTTTCTAATTTTAATTTCTTTCCATAATAAAATTATTGTAAATTACATTTCCATGGCATAGTATAAATATTAAATTATAATACTGTAGGATGTAAATTTAAAATAGTACCACTGCATCATATAAATTGTATCAACTTCAACAAAAGTACCACACCTAGGCCATAGCCACCTTTTTCCTCCCATGGAATATTGATACGAAAACAGAGAACATTTTAGTATAGCTCTGCAAAAACTATTACTCGATCATATCTATCTATGTTATTTCAATAACATCACTCAAAGCATCTCCATAAAATAACCGACAGCATAAAACTCAATACCTTAAAACATTTTCCATAATAGAAAGAAAACCATGCTTCACCTTGCCCTTCGGTAAAAACCATAAGCCACAGCAACTGTGGCGATTGCACCCACCACAGCAACAGTAGTAAGGAGATGACGCTGCTCAAATTTCCCCACCCAGCTCGAGAATTCATTCTTCATTTGTTTTTTCTCGACATTTTCAGCTCGGCAGCACGAAAACCCGTTGACACCCTGGCAACAGCTTCCGACACTTTCCATATTGTCTTCAGTAACAGTTTCTGGAAGTTTGCCATTGACATTTGCATTAGTTTCAGTGGCATGATTCGGTTCCTCTACTTCTACTTCTTTAGCTTTTGCACCCATTTGGCCCCTGCAGAGTAGAACGAGAAGAGAGACTAATGATTGCGGAAATATCAAGGGGATCAAATTTCGCATAATTGAATTTGCAGCAATGATTGAACGTTACACATCAGACAAATTTTCCTGGAAAAAAAGTTGTGTTTAGAAAGGGCATTAGAAATTTACAGCTCTTCATGTGAAAATACTATATAGCGAATAGAAGTGAAGTTCTATTTTGAAAAGACAGGTTTCCGGATCAGAAAATATGTAAATTTCATATATTGGTCAAGAACAGTAAAGTGAATGAGTAAATTTATACTAGCTTGTAGCCTTAACATTGACAATAACTTCAGAAATCAAGCCATGACGAGGAGTACACAAACCTCCAGATCCGCTCAATGACTTCTCCATTCCCAATTTGTTTATCAAGTATTTCAAGAACATCATTAGGTGTGACATACCCATACCTGCATATAGGTGTAATTGAATTATATAAGACTGAAAGAACTTGAAAGATACTAATAATGGTAATTCTCTAATTAAAAATGCTCAAAACTTATAGCAACTTCTTATTACTCCAACCTTATAAGATCTTTATCTTATAAGAAGCTTTTAGGAGCTTATATTTGTAGAAACCCCAGCTGCTACAGCAACTTCTTATTACATCACCTTTATTAGATACTTTATCTTATAAGACGTTATGAGAAGTATATAAGCTCAACCAAACAAGCTTTACAAATCATGCCAATAGGACACACCACAAAGAGCATAAACATTACCAATTTCCAGCAATTTTTCCATCAGGATCTGCACTAAAAGTTATCACATTGCCAGCATACTTGTGTCCTCCTACATGTGAGCAGGCAGCCACAAACACCTGGCCCTTCAAATCCTTGGACCCAATCTCTTCTTTAAATTTTTCAATAAGAATTGGGCCACAAACACCACATCTCCGGTCACGTTTGTTATGAGCACAAACAAACACAAAAGAATCAGTCAACTCCTCCTGCACTCCAGATAGCCAAGGCTTCCCATTAACGAGCACATCCTCAACAAAGCTATCAACATCTGACTCGGTTAAACCCCTGTAGAAACATAATAAAATAGTTTTGGGTTGATTAGAAATTAGACAATCAAGAAGTAAATTTACAATAACATAAACATTGAGCCTAGTGAGATAATTTGAAGCATAGGTAAAATTGGTACTTCTGTTGGTCAGACTAATTGAAGGAAACTAAATTATAGTCAATTCATACCTGATTACAGTCATTTCAGGAAAAATCAGAACATCTCCATCGGAGAACTTCAGACCATCTCCCTCGCAAATAGTCAAGCGAGTCTACAAATTTCCAGGATTCAAATCATGGAGACAAGTTCACCAAAATTCAAATATATTTCTGAAATTAATATCCTAAATACACCTAAATCAGCCACATAAGAAGAAGATAAGCAAAACAAACAATGTAAACTAAAATATACACTTCATACCAGGTCTATCCTCACTGTGAGACAAACAATAAATAGAAAATCAGGAACATTAACAATCATGCTTCACTAAATTGAAATCTTAATGAACTATGCAAATAAAACAATGGCCAGATAACCAAGTTAAAACTTATCGAAACATAATACCAACCAAAGAACAACAGCCAAACAATCCACTGTATATAAGAACCCTACACATAAGAACACAAATCCAAATGCACAATACTTATGCGATTCCAAAAACAATTTTTTCTCAACTACTAATGAAAAGCATCAACAAACCGAACATTTGTACTAAAGTACAGGATTGATATCATATTTCATATAATACATAGAAGAAAACAAGTAGAAATATGTATACCAGGGTATATGCGTTACAGAGATTAGTGAAAAAGCCCAATATAAGGTGATACTTAGCCCCTGGACAAGTTCATAAGGAAATGTAGAATATATATATAAAAATAAGAAAAAGAACACTAATCAGGATGTTGATTATGATAATACGAACTAAGCGTTGATCTCGTTCTTAAAAGAGCTTAAAATAAAGATAAAAATAATGCGATCTATGTGCACAGCCAAACATGCCCTATTAGCACAGACCTTGAGGCTGATATCGTTTTTACGATCTTTCAGAGAGGAAGCTAGCAGCTTAGGGAGAGGATCGGAATCGGAATTCTCGACGCGTGAAGGCCAGTCATCGTGAGACTTGTAGCAGAGGAATACGTGGCGCTCGTACGGGTCAACTGTCCCATTGAGGCTGCTCTGGCACATCTCAGCTCGCTCAAACCCATACTTGGCGGTGTCCTCAGCGACGGTTGAGAAGCTCTCCGATTCTCCGGCCATGGAGGAGCTGGAAGACGACGACGGTGCTAGATGAGTGTAAAAGCGCGAGATTTTTGGGAGTAGGTTAATAGAGACAGAATTTGGAAATTGTGGTTCAAGATATATTTGCCTTATCGAGGAGATATATCGGGTCGGGTGCGGTATCCGCATCTCTTTCTATCGCAAGGGTGCGGTTTTGAATCTATCATTATATAAAAAGAATAACCTTTTTACAAATATAGAAATATTTTCCCGCCAAAATCATTAAATATATCCTATATATAGTAATTGTTGGACAAATCTGAATAGGCAAAAAAATCGGTTCATTAATTGTGTAAAGATTTGTTTCTCTTTTGCAAAAAAAACGGTTTAAGATTTGTTTCTCTTTTTCTTATTTTTTAGTTTATCAAAATCGTTGTTTGACAATAAATATATTTTTTTTTTCTATTTTTAGTATAAATCTACACTCTTCTGTTACAAAATCCCATTGCATACAAATCTCATCCCTTATCTATACAGATTTGAAAAAATAAAATAAAATATAATAGAAACCAATTCATAATTACTACTAGAAATCCATTATCTACTTTAATAAGCTAATTTTCATCGGCTAATTACTAATACTTTTACAAATATTATAAGTTAATCATACAAAAAAGTATAATAATAATTTTAAAATGGTGTGTAATCAAATTTTTTTATATTCTCTTATACAAAATAATTTTACATTGTTTGACCCCGAATCTATAATTTATAATTATTAAGTATTGTTTATCCTCCTCTTTAATTTATAATTATTTTTTTCTTCCTCTTTTTAAATATGATTAATAGTAGTTTCCACTTTCGTCATTGAGTAACTCTAACTTGAGATCTATTTATAATATTGTTAATTTAATATTATTCCCGTGCATCGCACGGGGTATACACTAGTTATTTAAGTAGGAATGTACTTTTTCGGCTTAGAGTGCGTTTCGTTTAACATTGTTTATTGGTTTTATAGTATTCAATTTTTTTAATGGCTTTGCATAGCATAAGGTCCATTTTTATGTACATGTTTTTTTGTTTTTTGTTTTTTTGTCTTCTTCTTCATTTTTTTCCTCTTTCTCTTACCTTGGCATCGATCGATAACGGATGACAGCTCCGCAAGAGGCTTCCCCTCATCTGCACGCCTAAAGACAAGATCTTCAAACGGTACACATTGTTCTGGTACTGGCGACGCATCTCTTTCACGAGTTCCTTCGGGAAAACAACGATTCCATTTGACCGACTACTTTGATTTACACACTGTCGCACTTGGATATCATCGCCAGCCACAATATTCGACCTCGACAAGTTCGATCAAAAAAACTGCAAGGAGAGGGGGTTAGGGTGACCTACACATTGAATGGCCACAACGATAAAGTGGTTGATATGACAGTTCTCACGTTGGAGCGACTGATTTGTGTCGCGGATGGGTTTGTGAGGGGCGACAAATGGACGAATGACGATGATAAAGTCATTGGCTAAACATGATTAATACCAGCTAAAACAAGTCGGTCGATTTAAAGTAAGGTCATGTAGACTTGTGGAGACCAAATACAGTAATAAGCATGAGAAGCTCAACAGGTCGATTGAACCACAATGGCGACCCAAATGACAAAGGTGGATCTAGAGCGAGCTAAAGGAGTAAAGGTAACAGCTAAACAGGTCATATGCCTCTGCATCATGTTGAACGGCCTATAGAACTTGGACAAGGGCAAGTTGTAAAACATATTATTTTAGCTAAAGAAAATAAAAGAAAAATTGATACATTTTTAAAATTATATTATAAATTTAATGATATTTATTAATATATATTTTATCAAAGTTATGCATTAACATATATAATACACAAAATAAAAACATAATATGCAAAAAGAATGTAGGATGGAACAGTAACTGGAGAGAAAAGTCGCGCGACTCCAGCACAAAACGTGTCAGCAACTTAATTACTTTTAGTAAGTTGTCAAATTTTTAACGCATTTTTAATTACTATATTAAGTAAATCCTTTGTCTTATTTTATATTAACTTGTACAGCATCCGTGCGATGCACGTGAGCATTTATTATCTACTTGCTTTCTAAAAGATATTTTTGTATTTAAATTATCTCACAACATTAAAAATATCATAAAATTAAATTTTTATATTATTGAACACTTCCTTATGTATAACACTTTTTTGTTTGATTCTTTGGCACATAAAGTACTACATGGGTGTTCGAATTTATCTAAAATTGTGTATTATTAGCTATTAGTAAACAAATTATGTTTTCTAAAAAAATTAAGGGATCTTATTTATTAAACAAAATTCTAGTAAAAAAAGGTAGAGATTTTAAGGAATTTTCACGCCTTTTTTTCTTTAAAAAAAAAAATCAAATTCAAAAATTTGATTAAGAAAAATTGAAAAGAATTGCTAGTTTTTCCTAAAAATGAAACCGATTTTTTTTTATCAATACACTGATTTTTTTACTAAATAAATTGACCCGAATATTTGGTTAAAACAAAGTGAAAAGAATTATCAATTTTTTCTATAAATGCAATCAAATTTTCCTAACATTGCATAAATTTTTTTACCAAACAACGGAATTGAAATTAATATTAATAAAAAATTTAGAATAATTTGTTAAGATTTATGCAAGAATTATCAATTTTTTCTATAAATGCAACCAAATTTTCCTAACATTGCACCAATATTTTTACCAAACAATGGAATTGAAATTAATACTAATAAAAAATTTCGAATAACTTGTTAAGATTTATGCAATTGTTTCTTTTCTAAAAAAATTGATATGAACTTAACAAAAAAATTAATATGAACTTACCAAAATCTCGGTAAAACATGGTTAAGAAAAAATATAAGAATCGAGAAAATAAATGGTGCATGCAAATTTTGAAAAAGTTGTACACGACTTTTCCTTGTAAAAATTGCACACAATTTTGAAATTGATTTGAATTTTTTCCTAACTAGTTGGATAAGGTATGCTTTTAAATATCAAAGATGAACCAATTTTATTACTAAAGAAATATGGATACAATTTTAAATGTATATCCCATCCAAATCCTATTTTTTTTTAAAAAAAAATTGCAAGTGGTTTATCCAATTTGCTCACATTTTCTGAACGAAAAAATTATTCAAAAAAATTGAAAAAATTTGTTAAAAATTATACAACTATTTGTTTCCTAAATTTGTATTCAATTTGCACGGTTGTCAAATTAATTTGTATTTAGATTTGTTTTCATAAATAATAGACACATTGGTGGCATAAGAATCTCTATATTTGTTAAAAAAAAAATAGGATTCAGATTTTATTAAAAAATAAAAAATAATATGAAAAAAATGGAATTCATATTTTGGCAGTTACAAAAATATTGAGTTTTAGAGTTTGTTATTAAATATTCACATGTATTTTTTTGAAATTTTCACTAATAGTGAGTCAAACCATTTATTTTTTTAATTAAACTTACTGTAAACATGCTTTTCCAACAATATATATAGAATATATATAAATATAGATATAGATGTAGATATAGATACAAATATAGATAAATGAGCCTCAATGAACCGAAAATGAGTTTTGTCCATATAAACAGTGGTGGGCACGGGCCGGGCTGACCTACGTTTCATAGGTCTCTTACCTTATTAGACTGTTTTCACATGAAAGGGCAAAACTGAAAATATGGTAATTTCCATTTATAACTTGGAGCGCAAGTCATACAGACCCCACCCTTCCTCCAGTTTTTCAATGTTTTTGTGCAGCTCGAGGCTCGGACTCAGGCTTAGTCAACCAAGGCCCCGTCCGAACCTAACCTTGGCCTCTTGAACTTTATAAAATTCCTCTCCGAGACTTAGGCTCGGGAAGCCTGAGATCGATTTTCCCACTTCACCCTTCCCTCTTTTACTTAGTCGAGTGGAGAAAAGGAGAAAGTTGTCAATTGTCATACTCTCTCTCTGCTGCTTCAAATGCAAGTTCGTAGTGGCGTTCTGCTATGTCCCCTTTATTTAATGTCCTCTTCGTGGCTAAGTGATTCATGAAAACGCAATGGATAGGTAAAAATGATATAATCTTGGAGTACCAACAATTTTTCCAGTTTTTAGGCTTTTGGGTGAGTGTCGAACTAACGTTAGCAATATGGGAGTTTTATTGTGAGCTAAATCGAAGGTTTCATATGGGAATGACTTATGGCAGAAATTCTATGAACCTTAGTTTGAACTTATTCAGTGGCAACCCGCTTTGAAATTCGACATACATGTTTTCATTTTCAGGTTTGTGTTGATTGGCCTGATCGTCCTGCTGGGGTAAAATTTGATCCATCCGATGTTGAGCTGTTAGAACATTTCGCAGCGAAAAGTGGGGTTGGGAGTGCGAAGCTCCACATGTTAATTGATGAATTTATTCCCTACACTCGAAAGTGATGAAGGCATATGTTATACTCATCCAGAAAATCTTCCTGGTGAGTTAGTAATGCTTCGAAGATTAGATCAAGAGTGCTCGATATTTTTTGGAATGAGAAAAGAAGTCTTATGGCTAGTTGGAGCAAGAAATACATACTTTTGTTTTGCTGATAGAATGATCCTATTTACTTAATATCTGTCTGTTTTGTAACCTTAAAGAGTGTGACTGACTATAACCTTCTACTATAGCTAATACGAGTTTTGTTTGGTNGAGAATCACTTCAACTGAACATTAGTTAAGTTTGCTAACATTCCCCATATTTAACCTGTGGAAATTTACGAGAATTTTTTTTTTTTCTTCTTAACATCTGTTCTGTATTTGAAGCAATCATTTGAAAAGTTCAATTTAGGAAAAACAATGTTAATTTAAGTTGATAAATCTATTATTTCAGGAGCTAAAAAAGATGGAACTAGCGTTCACTTCTTTTACAGAATCACAAATGCATATGCCAGTGGGCAGCGCAAACGTCGAAGGATACAAAACCAAGAAAATGTGATAAATGTGCACAAAACCGGAATAACCAAAGCAGTGAGAGAGAATGGGATTTAAAAAGGTTTTAAAAAAAATGATGGTCTTGTATGGCATGTCCAAGAGGGGATTGAAGCCCAGAAAGTGTCATTGGGTTATGCACCAGTTCCATCTCGGGGCCCAGTAGGACGAGAATGTCGGGGTCTCAAAAATCTTTTACCAGCCACACAAGGACAAATTGACTGAAGAATGTAATATAGCCACAGCTCAACTCATCCCAAACGCTCCTTTCACAACTGATTCTTACCCTCCTCGACTGGAGAATTACTTCTCCACTGATTATTTCACCCAGTTATTTCTCCAGGTTGGTAGCAGTTTTTTTTTTCTAAAAATAAAAAAGAAAAAATTAAAAAGAATCTTAATGTTGTTAATCATGTATGAGGATGGTTACAAGAATACTTACATGTGGAGTGCTTTTATCACCTTACTGGGAATACAATTTGAAGAAGAAACGGGTATCAATCAAATATTTATAGTTTTGAATGAAATCCTAAGCTTTTGTAAGCTAAACTAAAAACTCCAAGGTAGCTTTATTATATGTATATGTTTCTTTGTCCCTTTCAGTTATGTATACTCAAGCTTTCATTAACTTCTGACCATATTATATGCATTGACTTGACAAGGTGCTAATGTATGCTGCAACTTTTATGTAATATCTCCAAGTGAAAGTAGCTTTTGGTATTTTCAAACGTCATTCTTGTTTTTGATTCTACATATATAATTCAAAGGGGGGAGCTTTAGATTGTTTTATTCAGATTCTGGTTTGGATTTTATACCAAAAAGAAAAAAAAAAAGGAAAAAAACGTAAGTAAAGAACTCGTTTTCTAATTCTTTTTAACAATAGAATTTTGTGGTGTAGGGTAAGGAGTATTCAAAGGAGCCACCTCATCATCGTTCATTTGATTCTGGCACTAACAATGAAATCGGTTATGCAACCAGCTTGGATGAAAACTCTGAAGTTGCTGATTTAAGTCGAGCGGATTCCCTATTGTGTGACAAGATAATTCATTCATACACAAATTTGGATGATTTGAAACCAAATATCCCCTCCTTGACTCAAGCTGGTTTCGATGTAAGCAGTTCGTATCAGAAATATGGAAATGCTTCGCATGATATTAGTGATCTCAACAACTTATTGCTCGATACTCTACCAGATTTTTAGATTAGTGTAAGAACTTTTGCCTTGTTCTCGTTTTTAATTTTTTTTTTCTTGTGTATAGTTTTCCGTTTGCAGGCATAAATCAGTCATGTTTGAGTTTTGTTTTTGGCACAGGATTTGCAGTTTCCCTCTCAAGATAGTGTGTTTGATTTGTTGGATGGATTATAGACGACGAAAAGAAGCAACAAATTTTCCTCCCTCATGAGAGCACTAGCAGCAAACAAACCATCCAAAGAAAAAATAAAGTGAAAGAGTGAAAAATATTAGAATTGACAAATTAAATGAAATTAAAATTTGCCAGGGCTAATAGCATCTTGTTAACTGGAGATCAACAAAAAAATTTAGTGTCTCAAATTAATTTGGGAACTCAGATATTATTTTTCTTTTATTTATTTATTTTTGGGTTGCCTGGCCTTGTTGTGTTCTCGGTGTTATCGACCTGACCATCGAACTTTTCAAAATGCTTGAATGTATGTCAGTATCTGTTAATTTATTGTTGTTTGATGTCAATTGCCAATGTAAGAGTGGAATATTGTTGTACACTCTAAGTGGCATGGAAGTATTAGGTCGACAAAAGTTTGTTTCCATGCAAAATAGATTGCAAAATGCATAATGTACGGTTGTTTATTTAGCCTATGTTTGTTTGGTCTCTTTTACACACACCACGCTAGATTTTCATTAGAACCTGGTGTCGATAAATATTGAGGTGGATGTGTGTGTATATATCTATACTATTATATTTATTATTTGTAATGTATACGTTTAGAGTTTAATGCGCTCAACTTGTGTAAGAACATGAATTATAACAATTTTCGTAACCACACAAGATAGTGGAAGGACAATAAATATAAAAACTATTCGGGGAGCATCCAACTACCCCTCAGAGCTCTTTCATTGACAACTCGATTGTGCACACGTACATAGTTTGGACTTACGACAACTAGAACTCCCTTCTAGTCTAGCCACATCTATGTTCGAATCTACCAACTACTTCTCTGGCCACGTCCCGTGGACTTTGACACACTCTCGATCCCTCGAGCAAAACTTGGTTCAAACCACAAAAGTGTTTCAATAAAATAAAACAAAACTAACTCAAAACAGCTTCAGTGTTCAGACGTTGTAAAAACATCAAAACACTGAACTGCAAACTAAAAATGAAAAATATCAAAAAGACTTGAATCTCAATTGAAGCTTGAATACGGTGAATGTCTAGAATTTCAGCAGCTTTCAATTGTTCTTCAAGCAGGGTATATATACAACTCCCTAGGCGTGGAGTCTTATCCAAGTTCTTTCCTTCTTTCATTATTCCCTTGATTTTCTTTCCAAATATAATGTTGAAACATGGAAAGCAAATCTTCTCTTAATTTCCTCGTCAATACAAATGCATTTCCTTTCCAAACTGCCCTGCATAAAGATTTCCTACAAAATACAACCATAATAAATCTTAGCCTACAAAATACAACCATAAAAATTTCCTACAAAATACAACCATAATATATATATATATACATATATATATATATATGGTCGCGCTCCAACGAGAATGGTGCTGAAATAAAAATAAATCTTAGCCATCGGATCGGTAGATCCAACAATTGAAAAATATCTTATATTTTAAACTGGTATTTTTAACCCAACAAACTCGTAGGGCCCACCTCACCCTAATCAATTAAAACCTACCCACTCATTCTCTTTCCCACACATCACATATTGCACACACACACACGGGTCCCAAACTTCTCTCTCTCACACTTAACACATTTATCCTGCATACACACATTACACACACGTATACATACATAGATACACACAGGAAGAAATTTAGAAGCACAAACATGCACGTCGTTTTACCACCATGGCCGGCCGCCACCCGCCACCGTGACCCACTGTCACCTTCCTCTCCGCGAATAGAGGCATGTCCGACGCCAAGAACCGCTGCCCCATCAACCTCCACCTCCGCCTCATTTAGTCCCCGGCCGCCGCCACAGTTACTCCTTACCCGATCTCCACCGCCGACCTCGAGAAGCTCCAGGTCATCGGCCACGACAACGGCGACACAATCTTCAAGGCTCGATAGTGCTGCACCTCCTCCGCCTCATTCACTCTTCCACCCGCCGCCACGATTCCAACTCCTTACCCGATCCCCGCCGCCGACCTCGAGATGCTCCAGATCCCTGGCCACGGAAAACGGCGACACAGTCTTCAAGGTTCGACAGAGCCGCTCTTCCGCCCTAAAATTCATCCAAGCGGCGCCGACACCACCATCCGCCGCTAGTCTCCAATTTCGTCCTTCGCCACAGCAACTCCCTCAACGACTCTGCGAATAGAGACGAGTCCTCCTTGACAGAAGCATAGTACAAACCACCATAGTATATGACGTCGAGAAGAAGCAGGCGGCAAGGACTTCAACCGACGGGGCTTGGGGATTTGGGATTGAGAATTAGATAATTGTAAGGGATCTATTTGTAATTGTCAAAAGTTTGATTATATTGTAGGTTAGTCCTTGTGTCAAATATATAATTTATAAAAAGTTACATAATTGAACCTTTTTGTAATTTTAAAATTTTTGATTATATTTCAATTTAAACCTTGGGCTAAATATATAATTTTTAAAACTTTATAAAGATATGCTATGCTATACGTTTTTTACTAAAATAATAAATAAAAACAGTAAATAAAAATGACATAAAATATTAAGTTAATATAGAAATAATAATAATGAATTATTAAATAATGTTCTTATAATAAAATTAATACATTATTCCAATTTCATAGGTTAATTTGATTAAGAATCGAATAAAATAATTATTTCCGTTTAGTTATAGTTTATTTTTGCACAAAAAAGAAAAAGGAAATTGCACATTGCATAAAGCACATTATCATTAAATAAGTTGCAACTTAGTGACTAACGGACTACACAATAATGTCATATGTAATGCAAATTAACACTATTGAGAATGCACATAAAGAGAAATATCACAAATGTTAGATTGCATAATAATGATATACGAAATGCACATTAATGATTAAACCAATGCACATTATTGCTTTCGTTATTTTATTATTACGTACTTTCAACTATTGCACTTTATATATCGATACGTTGCACTTTAAACAACAATATGTTGCACTTTTTAACATATCATGTTGCACCTTATAAAACAACAATAATATGTCATACCAAAAAATACAGTAATTATGATAATCGATTGAATAATAATAGTTGGTTAAATGTCGGATTTAGTTTTTTAGAATATACAGAATAACCGAACATGTCGAACTATATGAAAAAATGTTAGCGATTATATATATATATATATATTATTAAAAAATAACATTAATTTTTTTTTTATCTATATTTTTTATGTGTTGTGATTGCACATTATGACTATACGTATTGCACATAACTGTCTACCGGATTGCACAAAATCGACCAAGATCCAACCAACAGAAAATAAATAAAAAACAAAATTAAAATATTAATTAAGATTTGTTAATTATAAAGGGGAAGCTGGGGGAAAGACGAATGTAATGTAAAAGAGGAAATAAGAAAGATAGGAGTTGGACGGTGAAACTGAAATCTTGCTACTTTTTCATTCTCTTCATCAGAAAATCATTCTCGGCGGGAACCGAAGCTTTCAGAGGCAGGAAGTCATCACACCAACATTGCACCCATGATCGAAATTGAAATATATTAAAAATACTGAAACTGCAAATATGCCCCTAAATGTCATCTAATTTTCAAACACAAGTCCTCCCAAATCAAATACACTCCCGTCACCATCTCCAATCGCAGGTCTAATTCACGGCGTGATGCCGTCGCCATGGCTCTGAGCATGTATACCCGCCGCCGTGTTAGAGCAACGGCGCCCGCTCCCGACTCTGCTGTCATCTCCTCCGTCGGCAGATGAAGACAGCGCCCGCTGGAGATGGATAAACAGTGGATCAATTTTCGGCAGATGAAGACGGCGGCGGCTTATGAACCGACTTTGGAAGGCGGGGTCGGCCGGTTATCCGATGGCGGCGGCGGGAGGTGTGTGGTTGTTGTGCGGCAGCGGCAAACTCCGGGTTCGACGGTGGACGGGTGGAGCTCCCGTTAGCCTCTTCTATGGTGGTCGACGGTGGAGATGAGTTCTCCAGTGGTGGCCGTTGTCGGCGACGTTGATGTGGTTGCCGAGAGGGAGAGGAAATGAGAGAGCAGATCTGGTAGCGATGGAGGAGGAGAGATAAGGTGGAGAGAGAAGGTGAATTGGGTTTGATGATGTGGGCCCCACTTAGTTGGATGGTGTATATAAAATTACACATTTATCCTTATATGTTTTAATTTTACCAAGAAATATCAAGTTATTTATAATATTGCCATTAACGATTGACCATATTTGACTTAATTATGTTCACTGATCGTACCGATCCAACGGTCTATGATCATTCTTATTTCTTTCCCTATCTACCATTCTCACATGATCCTAACTATCTCTCTCTCTCTCTCTCTCTCTCTATATATATATATATATATATATATATGATCCGAGTATATAAATATAAATATAAATAAAAGAACTTCCCTTTTTATTTCTCTTGCTTGCAAGAACACATCTTCACTTATATTAATTTTTGAACTTCATTACCAAAAAATAACTCTTTCTATCTCCCCCTTTGGCATCTAGTTCGAAAATCATATAATGAAGATAACCTGAGACAGAGTTAGAACAACAAGGAAGAATATAGAAGTATAATATCACAAGGGATAGAATCCTGTAGTAAGTATAAAAATAGACTGAGTAAGAACACAATCCTGAACTAATGTACCTGCAGCAAAAAAAACATCAATGCACATAACCTAAACACAACCATCCATTAAAAACCAACAAAAGAAAAGTTCACCACAAATACCAAATAGTAGCAGATAACAGCAAACGACAGCAACCCACAAAAGATAATAGAAGAGGTTCTTATACAGATAAGACCTCACTACAGCACTCCATAAAAACACTCAAAAAAAC